CTTGAAATATTGTATTATTATTATGACTTATTGTGCCTAGTTATTTTAAAATCCAAAAGAAGTTCTTGATCGGACACAAAATATACCCTAAAGCAGACTATGTTAATTTTCGACCTCTAAGTGTGACATTGAACTTGGAGGTAGGGATGCAGGTATTGTGCATGACACATTGTCTTATTATAGTGACTATGTGTGGCAAGTACTTTCAAAATCTTTTGATCTATAAAAAAGTTATGGACGGGCACAAAATACACCCTAAAGCAGACTATGTTAATATTTGACCTCCAAGTGTGACCTTAACCTTGGAGGTAGGTGACCTCATTATTGTGAACAATTGTGGCAAGTATTTACAAAATCCCTTCAAAGATAAGTAAGTTATGGACCGGACACGACATTTACCCTCAAATAGACGATGTTGACCTTCAGTGAACTAGTACGACCTTGTCCTTGAAGGTAGGGGTCTGGTTGTTGCGCAAGACACATCGTCTTATTATAACAAACATTATTGCCCAGTTATTTCAGATTCCTTTGGTAAATGACAAAGTTATGGACCGGACACAAAAGTGTGACGGACGGACGGCCGGCCGGACGGGCGGACAGACGGACGGGGCCTATTTCTATATCCCCTTTTTTTCTTTGAAAAGGCGGGGACAAACGCGAATACGACTTACAATTTTTGAAAAAGTTAAACTAAATGCCGCACTGCCTCACGTTCAAGACAAAACTGATCTAGAACAAAAAAAGAACATCTGTCATATTCTTTGAAGAAAACCTCTTTCAGTGACATGCAAATTCCATAACCTTTGTTACAAATATGTACCATGTCAATATTCGTGTTTGTTACAGCTTTACTGAACGTAGGTATTAACGGCAAACTTTAAAATATATTTTATTTTTCATGTGAGAAGAATTAAACTCTAGCACATACATTTCTTTTATCGTCAGCCAGTTTAACTTAAAATATTACTGAACATTAGATAATTTTCCTCTTCTCTATTCCTTTGTATATAAATCAATTTCAAATTTCAAACATATGTTCCTGATCAACACTGATGACCACTTCATATAAATAAGGCTCTTACCTCGAGCTTTCATATTTCTAGAAACATCTGATTTTAAACAAAACATTGTTATTTTATCCTGTTATCTTTGTTACTAATTTACCTACATCAAACCTTTTTTTCCATAGCAGAGAAATATTCAATATTTGAGTATATTTCTAGGTATTGATTAAGAAATTTATTAATTTTAATAATTGTTCAAAAATAGTTGTATTTTTTCACTACGTTCATCATCAAAATAAGAAGAACGTGCTGTCCCCTATGATAGGTGTTCTCAATGTTCATCCCAAAAGTTGTCTTTCTCGTGTACAGTACGAAAATTTTACGGACGGGCATTAAAGTGTCACAACTAATGGTCCCCACCGGATATACACTATTAGATAAAATATAATGATATCGATCGATACCTGGTTAAGTAACTGCCATGAAACATGGACAATGGCCATTTATTATCATTGAAAATGGTCTACAACTCGTAGACTGCACTAATTTCATTATTTTGGAAAGTGTGGGCAAACTTCAAGGTTTTAATTTTGATATTTTCTTTTATCTTAAAAACGACAAATTTTTAATCGAGAAAGCAAAGAGATTATATAAAAACAACAAACATTCCTTCAGTAACATAGGAAAGTTTGTCTTGAAAGTTTAACACCATTTAAGGATTTTATGTAATTTAGAATAACAAATAAAATCATAAAATAGAAAAAAGTACTTTTACATAACTATTATCTTTCTTTGTGTCGGTATTACAAGGAATATTTTATTACGATATAAAATAAAACTTTCACTTTTAGACATGTAATTCAACACCATAGTAACTAGATATTATCGTGAGAGATTTTATCAAACTAAGACTGATGCTTCCTATGATATGAGTTACCTGTAATACAATAATGTTATTGTGATGATATTTTACATTCCGATATCACTATTACATTTACATGCGTGTCATGGACATGCAGTCTCCGTAAAGTTCATTCGCACGAGTTTTATCTCATTCAAAGGTTGGATATATGTTAAGTTCTAATGCACTAATGGTCTCATAGTTTACACACATAACCAGATGATGTCCATGATTCAGGTAAATATCTTTATTTTTTCCAGTCATTATCCGAAATAGATATCGCTGTTTATTGTATATTTTACGTTGCTGAGACACTGATTTGTCGATAAAAAGAGCATCTCAAAATGATAGAATTCGTTTAAAAAATATTTTTTTCCATTTAATTACTTAAAAAAACTTGATATCGGCAAGTGAAATATATAAAAAGTGTCATATTGTACACACAAAGTAACCAGTACGACAGGTTGTATCTTACAAGTGTTGTGATATTGAAAACAGACTGGTGTCATTATTTATATGGATAACAGGTCAGAACATAATAAATGCAAGGTTAAAGCCGGTTAATGAAAAGTAAAATTAAATTTGAAGTATCAAAAACTATGAGCCCTTTGATATTGCTCATTGAGCTGGTATTTTAGAAAAAAGCATCATTTCAATTATAAGTAATAAGTCATTTGTATGCATATATGTATTTAAACGTTACAACGTTTCCTATAATTTTTTATATCTATATATTTTCACCATCGTAAATTCGTGTTTTCGTTGTCTCTAGTATGAATGTGTCGTTGGCACTCACGGGACATCGTACTTCTAAGCTTTTCATTGTAAATTTGTTTTAGGTGAAGGCCAAGTATCTTCTGATACAATCCTTTTCCAATGGCTTTTAAACATGTTACGATCTTTGATAAAAAGATTTATTTTCGCCAAATACGTGACAGCATTGTTGTGAATTAGCGGTATTGTGTATCCCTTTTCAAGAATGGCGAGTATTTATTCATTAATGATTGATGTTTAAAGGAAATATTAGTAAAACAAGTGCTGTCACAGAAATTGACAAATGCCGCCGAACGATTCTAGTTATAAACCACCTTTTACATGTAAAGTGTTGTGGTGAAAATTTACAAAGTTCGAACCCCAGCTATGACCTTTAAGTTAGATAAAGACACATGGGTCTTGTCCATCTATGGTCACTTTATATTTTAAATACAAAATTAAAACTTCCGTGTATATGCGGACACAACAACCACCATTTATATGTATATAACATAAATTTTGAAAAAGTTTGAACCCCAGCAGTGACATTGAACTAAGGCGTAGGTACACGGGTCTTAAAGTCAGCACATCAAACATTTATGATAATATCATATGCGAAATCAAAAATATAATCCTTTCGTCTATGGTAATTTCATATGTGAAAGAAAAATTACAATCCTTCTATGCATACTAAAGTTTCAAAGCAGACCCGACCATCGCCTTCTATACTTATATAACATAAAACATGACAAAGTTTGAACCCCAAAAGTGACCTTGACCTTAATGGTAGAAACCCAAGTCTTGTTCGCAACACACCGTACATTTATTGTTATTTCATATGTAACCAAAAACTCAAATCCGTTCATGTATTCTGAAGTTTCAAAGCAGACACGACCACCTTCTATATTTATACAATATAAAAAATTACAAGTAAATAACCCCAATTTTATTTGCGACACAACTATTGTTATTTCATATATAAAAGAAAAAAAGAAAATCCTTTCATGCTTTACTGTTTCAAAGTGGACTATCTATTTGTACAAAGCGGGACGGATGGACTGACAGACTGGCAGACGGACGGTTTGATTTCAATATGCCACCCTTCGGGGGCATAAAAAGTAACTATCAGCACCTTAAATGGCATGCTATATTATTAGAAATAATCAAATGTTGATGATTTTAGAAAGGAAACAACGCCTTTATTTATTACCGGGTAATATTTATAAGTCAATGTAACTTTTTAATTAAATCTTCTTTTTTTTGTTATTTATAAAATGCGTAAAAGCGAATAAAATTTATATCTTATTTCTTTAGAAATTGAAAGCATGAAATTGTATATTAACATTCAAATAGGTTTTATGCATTTAGATGCTTGTGATCTGAATTAAGTATCTGCGTAGTAGATGCAGCGATATATAAACATTTTAACTTCCATATAAATGATATAATCACGTACATATCAGTACTTATTATACTAATTACTCGATATCAACAGAACTAAATGTTGTTCGTTACTTTATGGAAAATATAAAGTAAACAGAAAACAAGCTATTAAAAATAAAGATAAATGCATTTCAGGAACACAGTGGGCTTTTTAAACATACAAACATCATTATATATACATTTACTTTATGCAAATATTATCTGGAATCATTATAAGTATATATAGACTAAATAATAAGGTAAAATTTTGTAAGAGTAACTAATACTTGTGACCTGCACCCATAAAGTTTACCAGACAGCTCTTTCGCTCCTCCTGAGATCCTGTCACAACAAATCGGTCCGAGTCAAAAGCATATTTATTATAAATAAATTTATTAATAGTATCCATTCACCTTATGTTGCATTTATAAAAAGGCAAATTTTCTACATGGAAACTAAATGATTGCAGGAGCAAATTAAAGTTGTCGATTTTATTATTTCTTGTTGTTTTTTTACACAAATACAAAATGCAACAATTTTATTTATATTGGGAATTGCTGGTTCACCAGAAAACAATTCTATTTTATTTATGACTATTGATAGAAATCATATACATAAAATCGTTCCATTTTAAAAAAATCTTTAATCTTTTTCACTCATATAATCAGCACCAACTTAAATTTTATTTAATGCTATCCTATCAAAATCAGCGTATTATAGTCGCTCGAACTGCGCAAAGTTCAACGACTATGTATGTTAGTTAATATTTGTGAATTCAGCAATAATTCCATTTAATTTGTGGCGCGCAGTCGTTTCATGCAAAATGATTTGAAATGCACTGATGCTGACTAACTGACGATAATGTACTTGTATATGTCTCAGTTAGACCTAATGAATAACTAAATGATAAAGCAGACGTATGAAATAAATCCCCCGCTGCCATCACTAGCAGAGTAAAACTTATTATATGGAATTCTTTTAAACGAAAATTTACAGAACTTGAAAAGCTAATCTATTTTGCTATGCAGCGTATACGATGATTGCATTTAAAATGCAGTTCACAAAAACACCAACCAAAACTTTGACTACACCATTTTTTTTAAATTGTTCAGTGTTTGGCAAAAATCATCTTTTCAATTATCGAACATAAAAACGTATTTTCATTAAGAAACTAGAAGTTAAGGTAGGAAAAGATGAAAAGAGAAAACTGCTGGTAGACTGTTCGCCTTACTGAATTTCAAATAGCAATAATGTTCGTTATCAAAAATCAAATCATAAAAGGAAACAAAACTATTTTGACATGCAATCATAAATTTGACTTGTTTTTGCCATTTTATAAAAGAAATAAAACACTACTAGATTTTATCGTGTCGATATTACTATTTATATAAGGGTTGCGTCGAATATCTTTTATCATTATTTAAACATTTAGATATTTTGATGCATATACCCGGCCATATAATCATAAAATAGAATAATAATATTAATAATATTTGATCTAAGACTGTATAATTAAATTGTGCTATTATTTTGGCTAAATGGAACTGATGCATAACGTTAATTTTTTACAACATTACCTGAATGACTGCACATATTATATGAGTTAAAATTATACCTGCCAAGGAGCACGAAATATTTGGAAAATCTATCCTCTCTAATACATTGGAATATAAGGTACGTTTAAGTTTACATTTGTCAAATGAATTTGATATGTTATGTTGTAAAGTATTTTGGAACTGTTAACTTTTCTATCAGAAAGGTAAGTGAAACAATTATTAACTATTATCGCCGCATTAATATTATTTTGATTGATTTTTTTTCAAAGTTGACTGGTTTACTTAAAGTTAATGTCGTAATATCGTGACTATGACACCTAGTTGTCAGTAACAGAAATTACATAAAAATAATTGTAAATCACGAATATGTTATTGGTGTTTGTTTGGTATTTAAACAATTACAAAACTATTTAAAATGAGTGATAATTCATGACGAAGATTAGATAGACGTAGACTATTATCAAGTTAATTCGGATTTCAGTTTGTTTATTTGATTGATAAATAAAATAATTTATAATGTTGCCCGTTATTTGTCGCAACACCTCTTGACTCTTCATTTAATGTCTCAATATTACTGTTAGATTTTCACCCGCAGTTAGGACATCGCAAATCTACCGCTTAATAGTGCAATGGCATCATCACAATTTACTTTACTATGAACCTTTTGTACTGCTCTGTGTCTGAGAGTGTTGCCCGTTTTCTGATCAAAGATGTTGCTCTTGGAGCTAGTATTTTACAAAATAGTATCAATATAATTCTTAAATAATAAGTGATTTGTCTGCAAATATATATTGATTATATATGTTTGACATTTACATTTTTTCTTATTCTGAATATATCATCATATCAAATCTTATTTTAGCATTGCATTGTAATATTTGCGACAAACCACGTAGACATTCCAGAACAACTCTCAGAATAAGAACTGATTTCCGTGACACTATATGAAGAACAACAAAATGATCGTTCTGTTTTTGTTAACGTTAACATCTGTTTCTGGTATGTATCGTGCTCTTAAATTATCATTTACTGTCTACTTTCAATTCATATGTAGATCGTTACTCACGATTTGAACAATTTGCCCAAAATTTGAATAGCAAAAATGTTACTGAATCTTTTGAAGCTTTATAACCATAAAAGCTGAAACCATTCTGTTGAGTTTCTTTGCATTACAATAACAAGACCGTTTAATTGATCATTTCATCACGAAAAGTAGTGGTAAGAAATAGGGCATTGTTAAGTTGGCATACTTTTTGCATAATGTTGTTACAGTTAAAGATACAAATTGTTCTTTTTACTGTTGACAAAATCCTTCTGAATCACAATTCTCTAATTCTTAGCATTTGAACATTACGTAAGTCTTCGGGACATGACACCGGAACCTGGACTGCCTGAACATATCTTGATGGATGTTATTGGAAGAGAAGATAACATTACTAGGCTTCATCTGAAAGAAAATAAACGTCTGAATGTAAACGCTGATATCTATGAACAAGATATTGACCAGGCTACATTGAGACGCTTAGAGACAAACAATAAACAAGTGGAGGTAGGTATGGATTCCAGTAAAGTAATGATTTCTTTTTACATACGTTTCCTTCAATGATGAATACGATTTCTTATGTTTGCTTGTTGTAAAACCGTGTCCATTTCCAGCTTTTAAGAAAAAAAATCAACTCTTTACTTTTAAATATAAATTTAACAAAAAAATCTTCTTTATGAATACAGAATGTTCACACTATACCTTTGTAAGTATAGCCGTAAAACACAATTTTTACACACAGTCGTACAAAAAGCGATATAAAAAGTGTGATTAATTTTTGAAGTCCATTGTTTTATTTTATAAAAGGTTTGCAACACATATGTATGCCTTTAATTATATATATTCGTTTAATGTAAGTTATTAGAAGAAACATTTTGAAACAGTTGAACTATAATCTGGAATAAGTCAATGTAAGCTGTAAAGGGTAACTTAAGCATGAGTCTTGAACAAGTACCGTAGCCAAACAGACTGACAAAAAGTTAAGTAAGATTTTAAGATCGTTGTGAGCTATAATGTGACTGTGATTGGTTTATATACAATGGTAAATAGTATTAGTAAGGTTTGATATCAAGAAAGTTTTTAGTATGCTCAGGCTTTATATACCCCATTTATATTAAAACAATGGTCCCATTTCATTTTAATTCATTATTTGTATATAATTGTGTTTTGATTTAGGTTCTTTTAACGAGAATTACTTCAGGATATTAAGTACTATCATGACGTGCAAAATGGGGCGGCTATTAGTGTCACCTGTGTAAAAACAACCGATGATTCATGTAAACGAACTCTGGTATGAACTTATAATGAAATGCATTTTATTTTTAAATGCATGTAAATAAATTTTACTTCCTATTTTATAACCATTAAGAAAAAATCTGGAAATAGTTACTAAGTTGGTCAAAATTAGCATAGAATATAGTCAGCGCAAGAATTTTCGTGAAATTTCTTAATATTCATCTAGAATTGCTTAAAAAGTTACATAAAATTCATGTTTAATATGCAGACATGCCTCATGGCTTCCGGCACCTGTAGATTGTTTCCCTGATTGGTTCATTGCGAATTTCAATTTTATTGCAACGTATGAATAAACATTAACTTTTCTTTAACTGTTCTTTAAACAGCTTAGCAATGGTAGATTAATAATTTATTGATACTTTAAAGGAAGGATTTTTGACCGTTGGCAAAGAAACGTATGAAATACGTCCAGCAAGTAACCCCATGGTCTCCAGAATGCTTCGAGCACTTAATCTAAACGTTCACATTGTTAACAGAGTTGTATTGCATAAAAAGAACTTTGCTAAAATGAACCCAGTCAAAAAACGCATTGGACTGAAAGACTACATAGGTAAACATTTGCACGTTTTAAATGATTTTGTTTTCATATCACAAAAAGTGCTTTATGTTTCAAATAAAAAAAGATGACTGAGACTTAAGCGACGATTATATTGTAGAAGGGTAGGTTGTTTCCCTTTTCTTTTTGTATATTAATACATGTTCTGATTTGTTTATGCAACCTATCGCCTCGGGAGTAACCCTCTCCTGCTACATATAAACCTTGTAATCATCATTTTACTATGAATATCAAAAATTTTGATAATTGTTGTAATTGTCCGAATTACCATTTCAGCAAAGGGGGTCTTTTTAGATAAATCATAATATATAATATCAATGACAAGCGATTCGTACAATTAAACTGACGTTATGCCCATCCAATGGTAAAGAGTAAGTGTACTGGTAAAAGTCAAAATAAGTTTGCATTCTGCCATATATCATTTCAATTTAATAATTTACATTGCATGACGATCAAAAGTTTCAAACGGAAAAATAAATATCCATCGGAATAAACCTGTACAGTTAGTCATCAAAAGAGTGGGACAGTCTTTAATTTTAGGCAGATTACTATTCAATCTTAATCATATGCTAGTATCAACCGCTGTTCACTTACTATTATAACAGTCAATCTTTTGAAAATATATTGTCATTTAGCTGAACTTGACAATGATTAAAAATAAGCATCATGTCACTTTTAAAAATTATTAAATAAAGTTGTTCTCATGGATCAAATAAACTTTTAGTGATAACAAAATACTAAAATACTTAGTCGGAATCTCGGTAGACGATAAATAAGTTATAGAATGTTGCTAATGAGGTAAGTTCAATAAAGAAAAAGGAGCAATTGTACATAGTTGTTTTTTTTAAGAAAACAATAATTTAACATAAAACAAACAACGTAAATTTGGAGACTGCAAAAGAAGTGTACAATAATTCCCAAACGATAAAAAAATGTGATCTATCAATCTATAAAGTTCTAAGCTGATTGTTTTAGTATATTTTTTATTAATTTTTAACAAAAATAAAAATTTAAAGGGAAAATTTAAAAATTTATTATATAAAAAATTTTTTTTTAACGTGGGATTTCAGCTCAAATTATACATTATTTATAAACTTGCAAAATGTAAAGGTATGAAGAATATCTACAAGAGAGAACATTTCATTTACACTTTTCCTCGGTGAGATTTCACCATTTGTAAAGCTTTTATTCATTCACACGATACTTGTTTGATCATGACCCGCACAAAATAAAATTTGGACATAACAAAGGGCATAACTCCAAATTAGTGATGAAAAGACATACGATTTCTGAAAAATACACTCCGTGAGTTGTTACCGCAATGAAAGTTTAAGTCTCTATTTGAAACTGTTATGATTTATGCTCCAGACAATTTGTAACGGACGGAGGCAGGGAATGTCGGACGGTCGGACAAATCTCCAGACGAGCAATGCCTAATCTATATCCTTCTGTCCACAATGGAAGATTATAATATTAAATTGCAAGTTTTATAAATAAATGTGTTACAATAAAGTTTAACGTAGCAAAATAAATCATTTCAGTTCGCAGTGTCATTCACTAATGTATGTATTATAAAGGCAAGATGATAAGGTATTTCAAGTAGTCAATTTTTGTACATGATTGTCCATAAAACTGTCAAGGATAGGTCCTGTATATATCATGTTTTCAAACTTATGCCATGATCACACAATTTCTATATATTGATATACAAATGGTTGGTACCTAAATTATACTTGGCTCCATTGAGCTGATTTGTTATTGCAAATACTATTCTATATTGAAAATACTGTTATCTGTTGTTGCGAATTACAGAGAAACAAACACGTAAGAAACACAACAAAACATGCAAGTATTCCTAAAGATAAAGCTTAACAATAAATGTTTGATAATAAAAATAATACTAAGTGTTCTTTTATAAGACACTATAAAATATAATTTCTTTTCTAATATTATATCTTTTTTAAATACAGGAGCAAAGAAACCTATAAATGTAAGTTAAGATTAAATATATAATTATGTTAATTCATTAAACCTCAGTTTTTGTTTTGTTTTAATCAGCCTTTTAATTAAACACATGTTACCTTATTTGTTGATGATCATTGTATATTCAGTTTGAAAATATTAAGGTCGTTTGGGAATTAGAAATTTTCTATCTCAAAGGAAGATTTTGTTTAATTTATTGTTCAAAGAAGTTGCTCTCTTGAATACTATATTCAGTTATTTAAGAAATATATATTTTATCAGTTAGTACATGTACACTCTATAACTTTTGAAAAGTATGCATTCTAACAGTTATATAACTACTTCGTCCATAGGTTTAAAATTTGGCATCATTTTTTTATATAAACTAAGCAAGAACGTATATTTTCGAAAGATTTGTTTGTCTTATAAAGAAATAATTTGATGTTTGAAAGGAAAAAAAAATGATTTGAAACATTGTGAAGAGGTTGGTTGCGGGATTTAAAGGAGAATTCTCTCGACACGTGCCAAAAATCTCTTTCCGGCTCAAATGTTTTGTATACAGAAATCGTATAATAATCAAGAGTTGTCTTTTGTTAAACAGTTAGTTGAATTAACAATAGGACTATGCTTTTCATGCGACAATTTTGCAGATTAAACAGAGAGCAAATACGTTTGAACGTCAACAGCAGACGGAGTATGCTGTGGAATGTATTGTTGTAATTGATCCTTACCTTTGGAAAAAGTAAGTTTATCATACATGTATATCGTTACTTTACATTTTGGACACAAATTAAATAACTTCAACTCCCCATTATTGATCATCATTTTAGCTAAAAATTATTAGCAGTGGAATGATAATGATAAATAACAAGCGCCGGTTGAACCCGAATAGAAATGTATACCTCTTGTAAAGTCAGAATTATGTCCCGGACAAAGTGTAAAAATGAACAAAGTGCAAAACATCTTAAATAAGGCAAGGCAAAGTTATGGTTCTTTTGTTATGCACCTCTACCCAATGAAATCTATGTACCAACAAAGTGTCTTATTCATATCTTTTATACTCTGAGAACTATGTCCTGGACAATGTTAAAGTGTTAAAATGAACAAAGGGCAATAACTACAAAATTATACAAGACATAATTAAGGTTATTTTGCAATACACGTCTATTTTAAAATATCAATCCACCTACAATGTTTCTTGTTGATAACTATTATGGTTTAAGAGCTTTGTCTCGGACAAAGTTCAAAGTGAAAGAACAAAACAAAGGACAATAACTGCAAAATTAAGCAAGGTAGATTTATAGTTATTTTGCACTGTATATTTTATCCAATGAGATCTATCTACCGACAACATTTCAAGTTGATATCTCATATAGTTTCAGAGTTATGTCCCGGACAAAGCTCAACGTGTAAAATGAATAAAGGGCAATAACTGTAAAAAAGCAAGGCAGAGATATCGTTTCTTTGCAATGCACTTTTACCTAATAAGTTTATCTACTTACAAAGTTTCATGTTAATATCTCTTATATTTTATGGTAATGTCATGGACAAAGTTCAAAGTGTAAAAAATTAACAAAGGGCAATAACTCTAAAATTAGGCAAGACAAAGTAGCGACTATATGCTCATTCTTTTGGGAGCATAATAATAAATAATAATAATGATAATAATAAGAATAATACTGTTACTGCCTCTGCCTCTGCCACTGCCACTGCCACAGCCACAGCCACTGCCACAACCACTACCACTACTACCACTACTACCACTACCACTACTACTACCACCACCACTACTACCACTACCACTACCACCACAACTACCACAACCACTACTACCAATACCACTACCACTACCACCACTACCACCACTACCACCACTACCACCACTACTACCACTACTACTACTTCTACCACTACCACTACCACTACTACTACCACTACCACTACTACTACTTCTACCACTACCACTACTACTACCACTACCACTACTACTACCACTACTACCACTACTACTACTACTACCACTACTACCACTTCTACCACTACTACCACCACTACTACCACTATTACCACCACTACTACCACTACTACCACTACTACCACCACTACTAACACTACTACCACTACTACTACCACTACTACCACTACTACTACCACTACTACCACTACCACTACCACTACTACTACCACTACTACTACCACGTACTACTACTACAATAATTCAGGAAAATTAAAATAAATCATATTAGACATTCTAACACTATACTCAACATTTCCAATAAAAACACACTTTGTTCAGTTACTCGTATCTTTAATTACTTTCAGCATAAAGATATTTTACTATTATGTTCTGATTACAGATTTTATGAGCGCACAAAAGATTCTAAAGACAAGAGGGAAACAACTAGATATAGGTTAAGACGACATCTCACGCATGTTATAAATGGCGTAAGTATAATAATTATTTGTCAATTTTGGTGATAAAAACCAACTTATTGCTGTATAGAATAAACATTTTACTAATACAAGGTTATTCTCAGAGTGTTGTCGATCAACAGTAGAGATTGATAAATCAGAGATCATTGATAAATCCCACAGCCAATCGTTAAATATACGTTCTGCTCATTTGAAATAATAACAACATTAAACATAAGCACAAATATAGACATAAACACAGAAGATAAAATCAGATAGTCGCAATCACATCTTAAGCTACATTATCATTATAATCGTTTATTAAAGATAATGAACATCGGGGTTTTTATAGCCATTGCTGACTACTTTCCACATTTTGAAATAATTACGAAATAGATTTTATAGGTACCTACATCTTTACGAAGACATGTGTTTCCAGGTAGGAACTTTACTTAAAACAGTCATATAAACGACATTAAAATAAAAATTGCATTATCAAAACAGGCAATTGTAAAAAGATAAGTACTATCTAACGTGTAATTTCAAGTTTGCTCGATTGAACAAAATTTAAAGTGAATTTTTTAACTATGTTGATGGTTTTTAGTACCATAAGTGAAAACAAACTACTAAGAATTTATAAATGGATGTTGTTGGCAAGTGTTAGCAACATGATCCGATATGACATAACAATATTAAGCAGATATTAAAGTGATCTATAAACAAAATTCTTCACATATATAGCGATAACTAATTCTTCGTAGAACTTGACAAACATTTTTCCCCAGAAATATTTCATAACAAATATCCAAATGATACATTACAGATGTTCTAATCATTTTTTGAAGAACTTATCAAAACACTTGAAAATAAAACTCAAGAAATGAAGTGAAATTAGTTTCGCTAATGAACATCATGTCCTAGAAGATGGAAACGGTTACCTTTTACAAAACTTTAGGATTAGAAACAAAAGTTTGTTAGGTATCAATGTTTAGTACATGTGTTGCGTCATTCATTCCTGGCCATTATTTATATCAGACCTGCATTATTGTACGGTTCCATTGATTTCTTTAATCGTTTTTCACATTTGTTTCAGATATTCAACTTCACAGATTATATGACGTTCTTACAGTTTATATGATTATGATAAAAAATAAGTTTACGTTTACTTTCGCACTTAACTATAGGAAATATCAAAATAAACCTCTCTTTTTATAAGAACTAACTACAGTGTAAGAAAACTGGTAAAGAAATTACTGCAATGATAATGCAAATTATGTTAGTACATGTAAATCTATTTGATTAACAGGTCAGTCTTATGTACGAAAGTATTGAAGATCCTGAACTCAACATTTACGTGACGATATCAGGTTTTATTTACTATGAGGTGAGCGTTGTAATTAGGCTTTAGTAATGATATAATTTATTTACATACGTACCCGCGATAGCTCATGTTATTTGTACTAAACCTTGTGGTCTGTTTATTATGTAACGTTTAAACTGTGATATACTTCGTTATTTTCTGTTTCTTTAGGATCTCTGTTCAAACATTTTTTAATGAGCTCTTTACACTTTCTCACGACAGGCTTAGAAAAAATAACAAACAAAAAGAAATTCATTGCGATATTCATTTTTTGGACATAACTTGCTTTACAAAATTTAAAGTTCGAAAGTTCATTCGTTTTATTCTACATTTTTTAACAATGTTTTAAAGAAATGTAATGTAAGACATTGGGTTGTTTCATATATTGCACTTTCAATTATTTCTCACGACTTAGACAAAATAACAACAAAAACAACAAACGGATGCGTTACCTATCCAGTTGCGATATTCGTTCTTTAGAGAATATTTGCCTTACAATACTCTTAAGTGCGCAAGTTGATTCGTTTTATACTTGTATTAATTCAACAATTGTTTTAAAAGAATACAACAAAAGGGTTTAATTTAAAGGTATCGAATAAATGTTTTTCAAAAGACAAATCGAAATTTGAACTTTTACCTCTTCATGTGAAGAAAGAGCAATTTTGACTTACGTAATGACTGAAAAATGGAATAAGAGCATTGTAGATTCAATTACTGATACTGTACTTAAATATCAAAAACAAAGGGCCCTCAACTGTACTTTGTTAATTTTTAGAAAGACGATGAGACTAGCCCGGTTCCAAAGGGAAAGGATGCGCCTATATTTAATAACGACAAGCCTTTAGTTGATGGAGAAAAATATCTATATTACTCGCTACACTGGCTTAAGAAACAAAGTCCTATGAAAAATGACGATCATGTCATGATATTCACCGGGTAAGTTTTACTTTCCCTAACATGCTGGCATTCATTGTTTTATTTATCTTACATAGTCATCTTTACTACTGTCCAGACTGTAAGGAATGCAATTGCAAGTTAAAAAAATACCTCTCTCAACCTGTGCAACAAGGTTTTGTCTTTATAAATCAGACAACTATAAAATTTTGACTAGGACATAATACAAATTTCGGACTGCTTATTCTTTGTTTTGAAGTTCTTAAATACCTCTGCAGCATTTAATATGACCATGCTTATATAGAAACCCCTTTCGCTATGACAATTAATGTGACAAAACAATACTGATCAGTATTGCTATTATTGTTTTTTTTTTAAATAGTTGTCATGAAAAGTAATGTTACTACATCTAAGATTTCTAATCTCGTCAAACCTTTAAAATTCAATATAGCACAATAAAATCACAAATCTTCGAACAACAAAAATGTCAAAACTGTTTGCATACGTTTCAAAGAGTTCAGTAATCATGTCTGTGTATATTGGCTCTTTTTTGATGACTTGTTTAAAAAACATACGCTAAACCGTTTTGAACAAGCTTTTTTATAAACAAGTTGAAATGTCCGTAGAATCTGGTTGATTAAGGAGTGAATTGGCTCATTTAATACCGTAGACCGTAGATGAAACCATGGCATAAGTAATAACTCATTTAAGAAACTAACTATAACGATTTCTTATGCTGAAACACTGTCGCCTGCCTTTAATTAAATATAAGTTTCGCATTTCATAATATTTTTAACTGAACTGTCGCTTTTAGAGCTAACAAGATAATCTGCTTTCTCCCGAGTGGTATCTTTAAAAGAACTGCCTGAAACGCCTGTTCCTTGTGCCTTATTCTCCTAGCACCATGCCAAGTTCAAACATTCAAACCAAAAACGCTGTTTCATCCAAAACCACGCTTCGTAAGAACTCCTGGCTGATACAAAATTACATCTTTCATTAAGCTCGCTGGTTTCCATGCAGGTTAATATTATAGAAAGGGGCCAAAAATTTTACAAAGCCCAAAATGGGGACGGTTAAAATACCCCTACAATTTCGTTAAAATTTTATTACGATTCACTTGGAAATGCAAAAAAAAAATTATTTTTCACCGACACCAAAATTTTTAAAAGCAATTACCCGTTTTACCGGGGCACCGACACTTGAATTAAACATTTAGTTCATGTAGTGTTGTTATCACACTTAAATCGGTAAACATATTCTTTCCCAATTTTTCATCTTATACATTAAAAACCAGTCACCGACTGAAACACCAGTCACCGGCTGAACAATCGTAACTGTATGTACATCTGCTCAGAAAATCAGCTTCAACGTTCACTTATCTTTTCTTGGCAACCAATGTGAATGTAAATAAATTTATTTGTTTGTCATCGCTCAAAGTTTCTTCCTTTCAAGTAATCACTTGCAACAGTGGTTTGCTACTACCATTTTTACAACACACTACATACATTTGTATTATCTTTTTTAAGGATTAGGTTTATTTAAGTGTACTTCCATATAAACAGACTCAAGTTTACGCCACGTGGTAGTAAAGATGTTGTCGGATTCTAACAAAGAACCGATATCATTACTGTCTGCAATACCATATATAACCCCCTACATTACTTACGTCCACAAAGACGTTAGCATTATTACAACTTCCAGACCAAAGACCTATCCGTTTTACTAGTTTCAGAGAGTAACGAACCCTCCTTCAATTTTTTAAGATTTTTATACCAATAAATAAACTTACCATGGCGCCTCCGCAACTTCTTCTATGCAACCCTTTGTAAGAAGGTTCGGATCTCACTCGAAACAAATACAACATTCTCTCTTTCAGACTCGTTATTTTTCAGCTCAACATACTTTGGCATCGTTTTAAAAGGCAACTTGTATCTTTCTTCTGAATCTACACTGAACATATATTCCCTTGGTCCGCCTCTTGTAAGTGTTTAATGCAATATTGCAATCTCTTTATTTATCAAATATGAAACATAATTTATGCTTATCTGTTCATTGCCATTCTTATCCGCACATCATAGCGGTACTCTGCCCACCAATTTCCGGTTTTTCCGCACTAGAAACAAGGACTGGGTTTCCTGTTTGATGTCTGTTTGTTCTTGAGGACGACTATCTGTAGACATTTTTTGAAGGCAATGGTGACTTGATTTGGCGTTCCTGATGAACCTTACTTTCTGCTTGAAATCGTGCCTTGAAGATTTTCTTTATATCGTCGGAATTTCCCGCAAACACATAAGCCTTAGACTCAAGTACGACTCAACAACCATGTTCTGAACTGTCTGATAATTTAAACATTATGGAGATGTGGTCAAAATTCCATACCTTTTGAAATCGTTTCTCCAGCGTTTCTTGCAGACGAATCCCTCGTAAAAGCGGGCAAAATAACCGTCTGCTTGTCTCGTTTTTCCCTTACATTAACATTCACCATAAACTGTTGTCCGTGACTAAACATACACGCCGATATTTGATTTTGTGAAATGTCGTAGATTTTCTTCTCAAATGTTTGCAGTTAAGGGTCTGATGAAGACTCTAAACTCGATAAAATACTGCTTCCTTCATCCCAAGTCACCCCGGATGCCACGTGCTAAATTGGAAGTGGAAAATATTTTTACAACATGTTTCATTAAACACGACTGATCAGTATACATGTACCCTTTTGGATGAGAAATGCCGCGAAAGACAATAATTTCATGCTATTATCATTATCGAAACGCGTTAAATATTTAGTATTTAGAAAAACGTATTTTATCTCACAGAATAACAATTTTAATGTGCGATTTTAGACATTTAATGTGTAGATAATCTATATTATATTTAGTTTTAAGACATACTGCATGTTTAGTGTTCAACCCTTTTACAGTTGGACACTACGCTTTCCTCTTTTGATTGCATCTGACGGACCAAGTGGGAGACTCTATGATGGATAGTTCGTAAAGCCCTTTGGGACTGAATTGTCTTAATGTTCGTCTTCTGCCTTGCTTCGTCGGGCCCTTGTAGGTGATTTTCTTGTTGCTCTGTCTTCCTTTAGGACATTGAGTACTTTTGTTATGGTCATTGGGTTTACTTTTATATGTTTCTACATGATCATTTAGTGTTTTACTTATTTAACCTTTTGTAACCATGACAACTGTTAGAATTTCACTTGGCGGGGATTCATTTTATTTACACTGTCTCGTTTATAGGAACATGGTGGGGCTAAGAGCGAGGTTTGGTGCACCATTAACCGGTTTAAACTCCCCAGCAGTCATTATTATGCTGCTGACCGTTCCAAGGCGGCGCCCCACTGTGTTCCTCAGATGTATGTCTATGTTGTTTCATACTGTTTTGGTGACACTTTTGCTTGTGTCCCTTGTTGTTTTCTCGTCTACGGTAAGTATCTTCCCCATTGCCTCTAGTTTTTATTTCTTTGATTAACCCCCCCCCCCCCTTCCCGCCGTCTCCTGTCCCCTTCCCCTTTGTGGGCCTATTATTATTTTCTTTGAATTCCTAATCAGTTACAAATTATTTTCTTTGAATTCCTAATCAGTTACAAATTATTTATCATTTATTGATTAACGTGTCGTTGCCCTGTCCTTTTTATGTTTGGGGTCCGCCTGGGCTCCTTTGCCATTGGTTCTTGTTGCTGGGTCATATGGGGGTTGCGTTCATTGAACGCCGCCTTTCCTTGTTGATCTTGTTTTTCATATATTAGTATGTTTAAAAACATTGTACGACATTGTCGCATTCATGACTTTTATAAATGAAAAAGTTCATACATTTTCGTTCAATAAAATGCTAATATGTAAGTATCTCATGTTTTACCTTCTTTAGTTGCGAACTATTTGACGAAGATATTGCAAACACAGGTATGGTTGGGATTGCGTTTATTGGTGGTGCTTGTAGTGAATATAAACTCTCTCTTCAACAGGATGCAGGCTACTATGATCTCTCTACTACTGCGGCCCATGAACTTGGACACAAGTAAGTGTTTTTTTTAAACAAATGCATCAATATGCATTTTAATTTGTGGCTAAATGTATTCTATAGATCAAGTTTTAAATATTTAACATTGTCAACAAGGTCAAATTGTCAAATTGAAACCATTGCTGATTTGGTTTGGACGCCGATGCTCCAATAACATCCGATTAAGAATTTAACAGAATTTTTCAATTAAAAAATCTGTGAACTGATAAAATTAAACTATTTTGTGTATTCCGTTTCATTTCAAATTCATAATGAGGTCCAGAAAACACAAGCTGTTCATCAGTTTAAGATACTCATCCTTATAAATGTACTGCATAAAGAATATTAGCGTAGATAACAAGATAAGGGCTTTTGCGATTATTGTTAAGTGGTTCATTTTCGTGACACAATTTTATGTGTACCTTTATGTCATTTATTTCAATATATATTTTAGTTTGAATGCCGTTCATGATGGTAACCGCTATAATAACTGCAAAAAGGAAGACATGTATCTTATGGCACCAATCACTAACCAGTTATCGTATAACAATCCATATAAGGTTAATCCTTGGAGATTTAGCCCATGCTCTATTAAATCGATCAAGGATTTTTTTCAATCGTAAGTAAATCTATTATATCATAACCCACCACACATAGTTTTTAAGGCTGTGGTGGAAGTTAAATAGATAACATTTTATTCTGTCTAGCTCTTTTGTTTTGTTTTCTATTGATCATTGTTACAATGACTGATATGAACATGGAACTTCTAATATTTATAAAAAGTGAACAAAGGTACACAGTAGACCAATTTCTATATTTCATCATTGCATGTTGACAAATACATGACTTTTAATTCTAATGACTATTATTTTACTATTATTTCACATAAGTCAGTAAAGAAATATATAATTGATATGAAGTAATTATTGTATAAAGTAGTTATCCGATATAATGAATTCCTACCAACGGTCCATTTAAATTGCTGATCACTTGCGTTATGCATACTGATTGATGCATTCTCATTTCAGAGAATACGCCTCATGTATGAGAGACCACGGAGATTATTTTGATAAAACAGAGTGGGACAAACATAACAAGATATTACCTGGAGAGCTTCATACTCTTGATCAACAATGTAAATTGCACATGGGAGATTATTCTGGCGTATGCCCTGTAAGTACACCAAACATAAATGTACTGTTAAAACATGTTTTCGTTCTAACAAATTACGAGTACGATTAATTCTATATGATCGGTATTTAAAATTACTGGCATATACTCTTCCATCTATTAATGACGTTCGCAAACAATTTAAATTTAGTTTGCACATTCAGTATAAGAGTGGTGCGTGTGATAAAATTAGCTATTTGCTGTCTTTCAAGAAATATCGGTATAGCATTCATATGTCAAGGTTGAGTGTGGTAGTTAAAACAAACTTTAATTGTTGAGAACTTTCTTACATTTGGTGGTAGAATCAAATACATTAAGTATCGATAATTTGATATGAATTTCAATATAGGCAAAACTTGGTGGATTACCGGAAACAGATGAGAGAATTTGCCAGGAATTATTATGTTCTAGAAGATATGGTTGCACTTCTTACACACCTGCTCGAGGATCTCCTTGTGGTAACCCTGATGCAAATAAGGTCAAATATTATATACATGATTTGTCAAATACAACCATATAGGATTATTAAACGTGAACTGTGATACATGTCATTGCAACTTAATAACAAAATAACAATGTCTTTATAACACAAGTTTTCTGAGTCTAGGATAGCTGGAAGTTGATAAAATTAAACCTCTCCGAACGTTTTGATTATCAAACCACTTGCTATACGTAACACAAGACTGCATTAAGTACACAGTTTTCTTGCTCTTACATATGTACGATAATTGACTTTTCTTTTCTTATAAAACTAATGTTAAACAAACATCTAAGTTTAATGATAGTGTAACCTTTGTAAGGAAGTTACCTACTCGTGGCCGTATATTTTATAACTTTGCATAATTATGTAAAAACGAAAAACGTAATGCGACATCTGGCAATGCCGCTTTATTATCAATTTTTATTTTCTTTTAATTAAAAAGTCAATTCATATTGTATTGGTGCCATACATTATCAATTATATTATGATTAAACATGAACGAATGTTTTATTTTTTTATTGCAGTGGTGTATTAATGGTAAATGTGTTCCGAGAAAAGTGAAGGTGATCGAAACTCGACGTAAGCAAATATGTTTTCAATGAAACGTATTATCGCTTTGTATCATTTAATTTAAACAACGTCTCATGCATACAAAACATACCTACATTTTTGGCCTGACTAAACTATCTTTATTCACATGCATGATTTTAGGCACTCATTGTTGAACGATAGTATCAACTAATGTATTACATTTGTGTTAATTCTATTGTAGGCAAGGAATGCTTTGAAACAACAGCCATCAAGTATAACGGACATGTCAGTGTCACAAAATCTGGTAAGGAGTGCCTGTTTTGGTCTGAGGTAACAGACTCCAATTATTACGATTACTATGTCCCAAACTTTCCGGAAATACCAGTGGAAGGTGCCTCAAATTACTGTCGGGCTCCTGGTGGTGGACTGCGTCCTTGGTGCTACATATTGAACGGATTTGAACTTGATTGGGAATTTTGTGACATTGACAAATGCTAAGTTAGTGTGGTTGTACCAAAACTTGTTTTCATTTAGTACTAATTAGTTTTATTAAGTAATCAATTACTTTGATCAATGTACTTGCATTTCCAAACAATATTATACAGTGTTAATTTTCATATTCAATGGTAAATGTTTTAGATGACATAACACTTTTCGTTTGGTATTGTGTATATGTTTTAGTCTTTTGTATGTTAGACACATATTTTATCCTATATATGTGATAAGATCAATCATCGAGCTTGACAATTATCAACAAAGTTGTAGTTGATCATTAAATATATTGCTATTTATTGTTTCCCTCACATTACATTTTTTTGTCAAATATTGGATCTTTTAATACATGTATTTATACCCTTCCTACTTTTTACGCTTTTATGCAAATTAAGATTGTCCCATGTCTAATATTGGATCTTTTATCTTTCCTATTTTGTACGCTTTTTTGCAATTAAAGTTGTTTTTTTTTAAAATTAATCTTCTATCTGCTTTTTGCCAGTAGAAATCTGTATAATACTATTAAAAAAATAAAAATATAAAACTATGTGTTGTGGTTATTATCTGTAAAGATATTGTGTTGACGTGGTGGGAAAGAGACATATTTTAACCATTAACTTCTTGAATGATTGAACAATAATGATTGACATTTTAAAAGAAAAAGTGCAGAATCTATTCCAATAGCCATATAAGAGAGAGAGAGAGAGAGAGAGAGAGAGAGAGAGAGGGAGAGAGAGGCAGAGTGTCAGTTTTCAGTTTTCATGGTTTCACACATAATGTTTCCCTCTCTTCCTTCAGGCCATCTGGGGGCTCAGTTCTGGAAGCGTGATTGTGTTTTGGGCTGCATTCTGTGAACGTTGCCGTTCTTTATTCTCGTGTTTTCTGTTTCTTGTTTGCGTGACTATTTAACAACCTCATTTTCAGCTATAAAGCAGGAAATTTCGTGTGTGACCTTGGTGTTAAGCGAACACAATTTAAAAATAAGTATTTAAGCTGATATTTTATAAGGTATGCGTTTTGTACATAGTTGGTTGTTTCAAAAATAGTCTAAGATTACTGCTAATACACAATATATCATTTAAAAAAATCACTTTCTTGCGTTCAATATGTTCATATATTTAACTGAATACATTAACTATTATCTGTATATTTTATTACACTAGTCATAGTTTTTTATCGTTCATATCCGCAAATTCATTTTCAAGTACTTATTATTATAACATGTGAACCGAATAGAAATAAGAAAATGAATTTGATATTGGTGTTGTTATTATTTACTGTATAAATATGATTTTACTTTTGATATCAAAATGAATTCGCCATTGATTCAAAACTGAATACTAAGCATCAATATTTATCTATTAGTTGTAGTCCATCAAATTTTAAACTTATAGTCATACATACTTTAAACTTTGTGTGTCTTTTATTTCAAAAATAAACATTTTTAATGTGTAAAATATGATAAACAAGATCATCAAGGAAAGGCGGCGTTCAATGAACGCAGTCCCCACCCGACCCAGTAACAATCGGTGTTTTCAGAATGTATAAATAAATTGTAAATACGAATGAAAATTTGAAATCTGGTCATTGCTTACGTGATATAAAATTATTTTCGTTATCTTTTTAGTTACATAAAGTACATGTATTGAGTATCAAACATGAGTGATCATTTCCAAATTTTTAACTATGAATCAATTTACTAAGCTTTCAAAATTATACACTAAAATAAAAAACGTTTTAGCATATTTCGGGATGTTTAACGGACCTTTTAGCAGAATATTTTTCGATATATTGTCAATTTAAATTGTTCTGGTGTAAAGGGAAAAAAATATCATCATTCAGACAATATTATATTTCTAGCAATAACATAAACATAATTGTTTTCATAATCATTATCCAGAATTATAATGAATAGCTGACATGACACCAATAAGAAATCATCAACATCATCATTATGTTCAACGTCATAATTATCATAAATGTTCTGCTACTCATCATCAGCAACATCAACTATATAATTATTTCAATAATTTAGCCGTCTGTCATCGGTTTGTAAGGTGTTGCATGACATCATCATAAACATCATCATCATCATTACCATCATTATCGTCACCATTATTATCGTCATTATCACCATTTACCAATCTTTATCTGCTCAACATCTCTGACAATCATCTTTTTGTTACTCTCAAATGAAATGTACTAACATAATTGTTCAGAACATATTTGGAATTGCTAACATATCTGTTTGTTAATATTTCTATTGAGAATACATGTATCTAAAAAATGAGCGCCCCCACCCCCCACCTCCTCACACACAATAACACGTTCCACTATCTTGCCATTTGCAAATACAATTAGATTTTGCGCAGTCTACGAACATTGCAAGTTTGCGTGTCAATTCTTTGATATATTTGATATATTATGTTCAGACGTATGTAGGGAGAAGATAACATATTTCAAAAAACATGCTTAAAGTGCAATGTGTTATTAAATCCTAACGTTGTCACTTTGTTTTGGGAAGATTTCTTTCTAAAAGTACATGTGATATTTCTTTCCCGCCAGTATTATCAAATAATAACCTCTTTCCGCAAAGGAATAATTATTATTATAGTGTTTTTTTTTTCTATTTATTAAAAAGTTAATAGAAAAACATTCCTGTCCTTGCTGTGATATGTTTATGTCTTTTATTTACTAATTTTTGTTTCTGTGTCGCCTCTACGGAGTAGTAGGGACATATAGGGATCACTTCTCCGTCGTCTGTCTGTCCGTCCTTCTGTCCGTCCGTCACCAAACTTGTTTGGACTACTCCTCATTAACTACTAGTGCAATTTCATCCAAACTTTACAGGAATGATCAGTACCAAGTCTAGTTGTGCATATTGTCAGCATTTTCTGTTTTAATGATTTTGTCAGAGTTATGGCCCTTTAATAATTTTTATTTTTAAAGTGTGTCTGGACTACTTCTCTTATACCACTAATGCAATTTCAATGAAACTTTACAGAATTGATCTGCAGCTCAAGTCCTTGTGCATATTGCACAGGTTTTCCGGTTGAATGATTTTTAGCCGAGTTATGGCCCTTTGATAAAAAGGTGTTTTTTCTGTGTGTTGCCAGATACACAAAAGCTTGCCCGGACTACTCCTCATAAACTACTGGTGCAATTTTATCCAAACTTTACAGGAATGATCAGTATCAAGTCTAGTTGTGCACTGTCCGTCTGTCTGTCCGCCTGTCACAAAACTTGTCCCAACATGAAATTGGCCATCATAAGGCGACACATGTGATCACCGATCGCTCTTGTTTTTCTAGTTACAAAATTTTAAATAATTTTATTACGAAATTTGTTAAACGTTCTGCTACAATATCTAAATGATCAATATTATGGGTGTTTTACTATTTGTTAGAGGAATGCATGTTGCTAAGCCGAAATAACTGGACATTACCGTTTTATATAATTATACTAAGAGGATATTTCAATCTGGACAAAACTAGTCATCATGTAAGGGAAATGTTTAGAGTATGTACTGACTGTTTAGTCAATAATGCATATCATGACCAGAACCTACATATATGCACTTATTTAGGTAAATAGTAATAAATAAGCGTTAAATGAAAGAATCGTGAACTTATTATCCATATATGAGTGTCACGTATATATATCACCCTAATTATGTATATAATGGTGAATCACAATATCTTAAAAAACATTTAATCATTGTGCAAAATTCATTTTATAAAACCTTCTAATAAGAGGAAATGAACACTAAAAGGTGACAGAGAAGACATTCAATACGTACATTAAGATAATCTAATAACCATAATAATGGCTAGGAAGGATTTAAATTCCTTGGAACAAAATTGTAATATTGCTGTATTGTTTTGCATGCAACGAGGAAAGCAACATACGTTTTTTAAGTTAAATATAGTGTAATCCAACAATTGTAAGTTATTAAAAACATAAACACTTAAGTTTATCGATAATAATATCAGTATATCTGTATTTGTTACTTCTCTTATATGTTCAACTATATTTGCATTCAGATTTGCGATTGTTTGTCACAATCGCGATTTGGACATTATATATCATTCGACTAGAATGGCCTCAACATTTTCTGTATTGAGCCAGAAAAAAGGGAAACATTTTGTTTTCAACTTAAATGTTTGATATAACATCTTACTGTTAGTTTTGTTTTTTGTTTGTTTTGGGTTTTACGTCACAACGACACAGTATAGGTCATATCGCGACGTTCCAGCTTAACTGGTGGAGGAAGACCTCAGGTGCCCCTCCGTGCATTATTTCAGGCACGAACGGGCACCTGAGTAGAACCACCGACGTCACGTAAGCTAGCTGGATAGCTTCCTCACATGAAAGAATCCAAAGTCCCTGTCGGGATTCGAACCCACAGCGGTGAGGGGCAAGTGGTTTGAAGACAACGACCTTAACCACTCGGCCACGGACGCCCCTCTTAATGTTAGTAAAAACATTACTAGGCTAGAATATCAAATATATATTTTATTTAAGTTTAAACGCAAACAATGACAACTTCTTAGTGTTTATCTTTAAACTTGCAAATAACATTCAGTTGTATGAGATGACAAAGATTAACACAATAAGTCTTTTTTGACTTTTTTATGTCATTAAATTTAATTTTCGTAAGTTTGTTTGAGAATTTAAAGAAGGATCATCAAGGGAGAGCGATATCCACTTAAAGCAGCCTAAACAACACACAGTCACACTGGACCACCGGTAAGGCAACCAGCATAAAACAAGCAAAAAGAAGTACACAAGGGCAAAGTCAGGGGCGTATCAGTCATAGATGAAAATACACTATTTCATAAGGAAATTAACAAAGAACTGTGATCACAAAGAAATAGATATCAACTCTGAGTGCTTTGTTGTAGAATAATGCACGGTTTGAGTTCAAATGCTTATACCACGAAGGCCGATAGGCCTTAGTGCATGTAGTGAATAATTACAAAGCATTTGAACGAAAAACGTGCATTATTATACAATAATGCACGGAGAATTAATATCTATTTCCATTCTAACACGTCAAGACAAATATAATTATCATTATAAAGTTGCACTTTATGTTTGGTGGTTAAATTTGTTTACGCCTCAGAGTTTCCAATAGAAACGTTCGTTAAAGGCTGTTCCATTGGGTTGAAAAAAACTTTCGTTACATCTACCTTGTGTAGAAACATTTTAAAAATAACGAATTTTGAAAACGTTGATTAAACTTTGTTTGTTTATTTTATTTCACTCTATAATTTTTCAAGCGAAATAGAAATTATTAAAAGTGAAATAAATGTAAAACTTAACTCGTTCGCGACATTAAAATAGCGTACTTGATTTGATTGTTTTGCACGTGCTGTTTGGCGCTATATTGTGACGTCATGTAAACAACACTTTATACGTTTGTACAGTGTTAAAGACTGAATTAAAGTTATTGGTGTGCTGATTCATTTTCTTAGTTACACCATTTTCTATCATTCTAGATTGTTTGTTTGTTTGATTGGGTTTTACGTCACATCGACACAGTAT